ACACCAATATCAGGTTAAGGCAACTGCCATACGTGACACCCCGCGGATATGGGGGGGGTACCATCGCTCATGATGGAAAGGTCGTAATCGGAAACAAATGTAACAATGTTCCGGCCCGTGGCATTCATCCTAGTGCTCCCCCAAAGCATGTGATGGGCGTTGAAGTCACCGGTGATGATCCAAGGCCCATCGGTTCTCATTAGGATGTCTTTTATTCTGTCGCAGTCAAATCGCAATGACGGAGAGATATATCCACCAATAAGCGTGAACGAAACTGCATTCTTCTTCATACGAAGACACACGTACTGATTGTCGTCATTTGAACTTATTGGGTGCGAAAGATAAGTCAAGTCTGTGCAAATGTAAACAATTACGTTGCTTCGTTCTTCGCAAGCGGCTGAACAAAAAGCTTCATAACTGGACAATCTATAGGGCGTTGATACGTTTGGTTCACATATGACAAGTATAGGGAATTTATTGGCCCGAACAATTTGGCAAAAGTCCGAGATACGGGACTTCATGCCTCTGGCATTCCACTGAAAAAATGACGCACTTTTAACTTCAGTGTGGAAGATGAGATTTTGTTGAGCCATTGTGCTTATACGAGGTTAGCAAGAACTGGATTCAGTGCATCCAGTATTTGCAGTGCACTCTTAGCAGACGGAGATTGTATACTGCTCAGTAGCGTGCGCATCGTGGCAAATAATGATTGCACGATTGCAGCCACTTGCCTGTCTTGGTTGGAAAGATCTCGAACCGGCACGATTGCAGTCACTTGCCTGTCTTGGTTGGAAAGATCTCGAACCGGGAGCGCGGACTGGCCGTCATGAAGCTCCTTCGGTTCGCTTGATGCTGCTACCCTTTGAAGTGCAGGCCACTCTGTCGCAGTTAGGGTATGCTCACTGGCTTTGTCCTTTACAGCCTTTCCCACGGCATGTGGTCTGGGAGGCAAAGGAGGTGGTACTGATGACGGATCACGCAAACGTGTCGAGGAGGTAGCGGGCGTCCTCGAAGACCGACGTCGACGTGAACGACGCCTTCTGACTTTAGCTGCGGCTTCTCGATGAGATGAGTGATCGCGCACCATCTTCTTCAAGATGTCAATTTCCTTCTGAATCTGCGGGCAGTCCTTCGATGTGGCTTCATGGGATCCATTGCAATTAGAGCATTTCTTGACAGTTGCGACGCACTTATCCGCTTCATGGTGCTCGGCGCAGCGGTGGCATACCACCAAATTCTCGCAGACGCTGCTCACATGTCCAAGTTTCATGCATGTACGGCACTGGAGAGGCGTCGGAGTGAAAGGCCGCACAGCATGTCTGAAGCACCCCACCTTCACATGAGAGAGGAGTGATGTGCTCTTAAACGCAATCTTCACACAGCGAGACTTGCCTAGCCGGGTGACATCAACAATTGGAGTATCAGTTGTTGACTTGACAAGAAGTTGTAAGTCCTTATTGGAAATAGCGATATCAGTGTCGTAGATCACGCCGGTTACTACATCACATCCCAAGGGAACATGAGAGCGCACCTGGTTGCCGTCCAAGTCAGTTACACTGCGCAGAACGCCCAACGCACTTGCGTGCAAAACGTCCACAGCCAGTACATTCTTTCTGGCATTCACTCTTATGTCCGTGATCTCATTTGGCACGAGTGTTTCCAGAGACCTCGACACAGACTGTCTGTTAAGGCGTTTCATGCTGACGGTAGGAAGTGCAGGCAGAAACAGGATGGTATAAGTGTTTGATTTTGGCGCTTCACTTACAGTTTTAATAGTTGAGGATGAGGATGTCCTCATGTTCTTTCTATTCGCCTTGCGGCTCAGCACAGGTTGGAAACCGTCCTCTGAGAAGTCCTCGCTGCTGAGATAGTAAGCATGAGTATCTTCACTGTCGCTGTAGCTCGCTTGTCCCATCCGCTTCCTGGAGGCGGTGGCCGCTGACGCCGCTGAAGCCGGCAGGCGCCCGGGGTGGTCTACTTTCATCCCCTCCAAGGAAGCAGCGGAAACTGATCAACAGACTTAAATTACAACTGAAATACGCCGGAGTTAGCAGAAGTAGCTCCTATTCAAAACACACTTCCTACTCTTAGAAGGTATGCTCTTTTTCCCCCAGCCTGCCACATCTTCTTGAACAAACTAAGAGGACACATTATTAATAATATTATTATTATTACCATTATTATTATTATTATTATTATTATTATTATTACTATTATTATGTTATATTACTATTATTATTACTAATATTATTATTATTATTAATATTGTTGTTGTTGTTGTTGTTGTTGTTGTTGTTGTTGTTGTCATGGAATGAGCATGAAAATATGTGTACACAGTTATTCTATTTCAAACGCTTGGAAGGTTTGAGTGCGTATACACATGTACGCTGAAACGCACATACTTGAATACGAAAACACTACGCTTCTTCATATTACAACGATAAAGCTTGTTGTAAAAGATGCTGTATAACATAGTTTACGAGACTGCTACTGTTCATGGAGGTTTGCTCCTAGCGATTTGCGAATTGCAGCTTTGAAAATGCCCTTCGAAAACTGAGCTCATGGAGTAGTTAGCGATTGTCAAAAATGTAGCCTGCGAAGGTTTATAGAATTTTTTCACATTTCAAACGGGAGCAGCTTACTAGGCAAAATACGTACACCACGCATGAGGAGCGCAATCATTTACAATGCTAATTTGTGCTCTTATGAAGCAGTGCGTAGACTGTTTCTTGCTCGAGATACCCGTGTTGAGGCCGAACCAAAAGCAGCATATTGAATAATGTCCTGCTGCTTAAATGCACTTACCGCAAAAATATTTTGGGTAGGACAAATAATCAGTCTGAAATCAATGTGCACTTTCTCTATTGACATTACTCAATCGAGTTATCTGCTTCACGTGCAAGCTTTACGCGTTGCAGGACTCTTTTTTAAAATATTCCACCCTTGGCGAACCAAATAGCAGGGCATCAGTATCCGCAAAACAAAAAAAAAAGTCACTCTTTGCCGCAAAGGCGAAGTAATGAACGTGATAGCAACGATTTGAAAGGTCACGCGTAGAAGGGTAAGCAGATCGAAACGTGTCCCGCGTTTCTCACGCATAAATCACGCATGAAACGTACTCACAGGTACGGATACACGCGAATAAGCGTCTCATATACTACTTCACTAAGTCTCGAAAGTGCACGCTTTTCGCGAACGGGGACTGCAATGATTGGAGTGACGTGACATTTGTGCTCCGGTAACTTCAGCGGACTTGTTCCATGTATAGCCCGAGGCCAGCCAAGGCGTACGATTCTCTTGTATTCACCACAGCAAGATAAGGGCGCGGGAGAAAGCATCGCTCCGCTTCTCTAAGCCGGACAAAGTACGCGTAGGAGATTAGAGCGGGCGCTGCTGTGCGATGTGATGGCGTGCGCTCACTGCGCCATGTTTCTCGTAAGGCGGAAAGCACATCAGCGGTAAGTGGTAGATATAAATAGCTTCCCGTTTGAACAGCGAAGAACGTTCTCCGCGGTGGCTCAGGGGTTAACGCCTCGCGGAATTGAAAGTGCGCCTCACGACGCAGAAGTCGCACTTTCGATTCCGCGCGCTAAAGTGCTTTCTTCTGGATATTTTTCGTTCTTGCGTTTTGATATGTATAGATACGTATACATATGAAGTGCATGAAATCGACGTCGACACCGGCAGCCAAATCCAGCCGAGAGTGTCCATACGATTGCTATCGTAATAAAATGTAAATACGGGCACCTTGTAATTCCCAAGTATAGAACGGGTGCTGCAATACTCGTGTCCCTGCGCAGCTGAAACGAGGTGCATTTGGCTTGAAGGTGTCCGGTGATAAGTGTTGCATGATCTTTTTAGGGAACATTCAACGTGATCAAGGCATTGTAACAAGCGTTGAGAGCTGGCGGAGTTGATCAGAGTTCATTGTCTAGCAAACATTACAGGAGACCGTACGTGAAGAAGGAACGACGCTTGTCTGTCTGTTTCGTTTCTTCAGTCTGAGCTCATCGGTTTCCTTTCGTTTCACCTTTGTGTCTTACATGCTCTGCACGTTCTAGAATTTGAATAATATAATTTCTGTGGAAACAAGTCACATGACCAAAGTGTCGTAATTTCGTAATTATGCGTGACGCTACCCTCCTTTCTCTTCCTATTTGTTCCTATTTCTCCACCTAGCAGCTGCTCTGGATATAAATGTATATATGTATATGTATATATATATATGTATATAGTATATATGTATATATATATATATATATATATATATATATATATATATTATACTATATATATATCAGTAATAATATATATATATATATATATATATATATATATATATATATATATATATATATATATATATAACAGTGTCTATATATTTCCCTTGCTTTCTCAATTTGTAGTATCCCTTTCTTTATCTTCTTTCGTTTTCACGATATTTCTGCCTCTATGTCTGTGTTTTCTCTCTCACAAGTTTTTTCTGTTTCTTTCCCACCTTCAACCTTTTTCTTAATTTTTCTATCTTAATATTTTTTCTCATCCTTCTTGTGCACCCTTTTTATCTTCCGTTCGAAGTATTGCATCCCATGCCGGACTAATTGAGAGAGTAGGAGAGCGCGTGCCAAACGCACGTATTCGAAGGGTTGATGACAAATGAAACATTACGTGCCGCTGTAATGATTTCGCCAACCCAATACAAAAATTTGCCTAGTGGGAACAGGTTTATTGGTAACAGTAGTGCAGTATCAGTCTTCCTGTATTTCTCGATCCTTTTTGGTTTCTTTTTTAATAAATCCCAGAAATATTATATGGGTAGTTACGTCCAAAACAACTCTATCTTAGTGTCTTTAGTTTAGTTGGGCAACACGTATGTCGGAACCGCTGCAGGGCGTTGTATATACCTTTCTGAATGCATATCTCTAAGTGCGACCCACTAAACTGCCGTTAGTAAAAAGCAAAATTTATCTTTGAATGTACGACCAAAATGAAATACGTACAGTCTGATAGCGACTCGATCTTCAAAACCGCACAGGAATAGTCTGAGGCCAGGAAGAGCAAAGTTTCAACGCTTCTGAAGATATCTGAAAATTTATACAAATGTAATAGTTACTGAAAAGTGTTATGTTTAAGAAGGAAACGCTAGCCCTGGAATCTTTTTTTGTTAACATCACACATAACTGCATCGTTGTCATTCATAGCTGATACGCTTGATAAAGTATAGTGCAAGAGTAGAACAATAACGTATGTAAGCACCATCACAACGTAGCGTCATGATGAAACGTTAAAATGCATTAGGTAAAAACCTGACAGTGAATTAACAGGCATATAACAAGTTAATTAACACGCAGATTGTATGCTGTTGCTCTGCAATACAAACATATTGCAGTGATAAAGTCGAAGCAATGCCATGTCATTTAATAACAAAGCTGTAGTGTGCTAGGCTCTGACCAATTTCCCAATTAATTGATCATCTTCATAAGTTGCGCCAATACTATCAAGGGTCTTTTAGCTGTCACACAGTGATTGTTAGAGCAATCTCCATACTTTAAAAAAGTATTCTAAAATCAATCAGTGTTACGAAGTCACCCCTAAACCACTAAGGTCTTAGCAAAGTGGCATGCGACTGTGACAGCTATGAAAAACGGGTCGAATGCATGGATGTCGACGGAAATCAGGTCACATCATGACGTGTATGAAATGAAAATCAGGATGCATAATTATATAAACAGAAGTGCTCATCTATACACAGCAAATTGTCGGCTAGCACAGTGCTGCTTTCGCAAGTTCACACTAGCTTCTAAAACTAGCTGAGGCTTAGTTTTTAAAGCGACAGCGTTAAAGATTATGTGTCACAGACGTTACAGTGTCGGCGTCAACGGTTATGAGAGAAATGTCATCTTGTGCGTGACCGAAAAATTAAGCAAGACCAAATTGACATAAATAATAATTATTCGAGGTCCGAGTGAGGTTCCAAGCAAGGTTGTTTGCGTGACAAACAAGTCTTCTACTGCATAGCCACCGTCTCCTTAAAAATACAGTGAGAAAAAAATGGCAGATCTCACGTAAAGTGGGATACGATGATATTCGAAGCAAGAATGAGGAAGGTTGATTTGTCACTTTAAAATCAGCACATCATTACAAGGTGAACGTAAATTATGGCGTACATGACTTCGATGTCAGGATTGTCATGTTTGTGCCTGGAATTTCTGTTCTTCGTTCATTCACGTCACAAAAATGCCAATTTTGGTATATGTGAAGCTAGCGAAGCGGCAACAAGCATGCTATGAGTGTAGCTTGTAGTCATTTTTAACATGACACACATGTGATCATTGTCATGTTTTGACCTGTCATTTACCTTCATCGTCCATTCACTCCACGTAATACCAAATTTGGTACATGTGAAGCTAGCAAAACAGCCGCGAGCGCATCATGAGCGCGATATGGAATCATGTTCTTTAATCACACGCATACCTTGATTATCATGTCTGCACCAGTCATATACCTTCGTCATCCATTGACGTCACGTAATACCAAATTTGGTATATAAAAAGCATACGAAACGGCCGCGAGCGCATCATGAGCGTGGTATGTACCCATGTTCCTACATGGCATCCATGTCATTATTATCATGTTTGCACCAATCATATACCTTAATCATCCATTCACGTCATCATCATCATGATCAGTCTGACTACGTCTACTACAGGACAAAGGCCTCTCCCATGTTCCGCCAGTTAACCCGGTCCTGCGCTTGCTGCTGCCTATTTATCCCCGCAAACCTTTTAATCTCATTTGCCCACCTACCCTTCTGTCTCCCACTAACTCGCTTGCCTTCTCTGGGAATCATGTCCCGCCATGGTGTTCTAGTGGCTAAGGTACTCGGCTGCTGACCCGCAGGTCGCGGGATCAAATCGCGGCGGTGGCGACTGCATTTCCGATGGAGGCGGAAACGGTGTAGGCCCGTGTACTCAGATTTGGGTGCACGTTAAAGAACCCAAGGTGGTCGAAATTTCCGGAGCCCTCCATTACGGCGTCTCTCATAATAATATGGTGGTTTTTTGGACGTTAAACCCCACAAATCAAACCACCATTCTCTGGGAATTCAGTCAGTTACCCTTAATGACCAGCGGTTATCCTATCTACGCGCTAAATGCCCAGCCCATGTCCATTTTTTCTTCTTGATTTCAACTATGATATCTTTAACCCCCGTTTGTTCCCTGATCCACTCTGCTGTCTTCTTGTCTCTTAAGGTTACACATACCATTTTTTTCACGTCACGTAACGGAATACCAAATTTGGTATTTTTACCAGATTTATATAGCAAATTTGTATATACCCAATTTGGTATATACAAATTTTATATATAGAATACCAAATTTGAGGGTAGAACGTAGTCATGTTTTACATGACGCACATATCATATATGATCCTGTTTGGGCGTGTCACTTAGCTTCGTCATTCGTTCGCTTCATGTAATACCCAATTCGGTATAAGTGTAGCGAGCAAAACGGCCGCGAGCACATGATGAGCATGGTGTGTATTTTGTTTTTGCATGACACGCATGCCATGATTGTCATTTTGGGACCACTCCTATGCTTTCGTCATCCATTGAAGTCACGTAACACTAAATTTGGTGTACGTGAGTGTTTAGCTAGCGAAAAAGCCGTGAGCGCACTATAACCGTGGCGTGCATTCATGCTCTTACTTGAGACATATTTTATTACTTCCACGTTAGGGTGTGTCAGTTATACTGGTCATGTAGGCATGTCATATACCATACCAGTTTCGCAACATGTTAGGTGAACGAAACCACCGCAAGAGCAGCAAGACTATGACATGTAAATAATGACTTTCTCGACATAGACGTCGTGATTTTCATAATAATACTATCACTTATGCTTGTATTACAGTCACGTTATGCTTCAGCACTTTCGGTACAGATGCGATTATCGAAGCGGCCAGGAGAGCTCAAAGTCGTAGGTGTCAAGGTAGGCAGATAGATAGATAGATAGATAGATAGATAGATAGATAGATAGATAGATAGACAGACAGACAGACAGACAGACAGACAGACAGACAGATAGGTAGATAGATAGATAGATAGATAGATAGATAGATAGATAGATAGATAGATAGATAGATAGATAGATAGATAGATAGATAGATAGATAGATAGATAGATAGATAGATAGACAGACAGACAGACAGACAGATAGATAGATAGATAGATAAATAGATAGATAGATAAGTAGATAGATAGATAGATAGATAGATAGATAGATAGATAGATAGATAGATAGATAGATAGATAGATAGATAGATAGATAGATAGATAGATAGATAGATAGATAGATAGATAGAACTCGCTGAGATTTGGTTAGAAGTGCTTCGCGTTTAATAACTTCCCCTGCTTGGCAATACAAAGAAAACAAACACATGCATCCTGTATTCATTCTTCACAAAGCCACATTTTGTAGTGTAGTAATGATGCGTGCTACACGTGTAGATTGTGATAGGTCTTCAGAACATGCGATTATCGCAAATTTATGGTTCAAAGTGGGCCCGTCACTCCAAAAGAAACACGTGTTACTCCGCCTTTTCCCTTCATTCTACGTAATAGCTGCATAGCAGCATCGACAAGGTGCCAGGCGCATAATTCAAAGTGATTTAAAGCCTGCTACACAATACACAGAACGCAGACGTATGCCGAAGCTTCAGTTACATAAGCCATTTTGAAGTTGGTGCGCTAAGTAGTTTGATACGCTAGAAACTCGGTACGCTAGGTACTCTAGGTTCAGATAGGTAAAACTTCAATACTAACATATTTCTTATTTTGTGGGTTTGGTAGCGAAATGTAGAATATCCTGGTAGATTTTATCAAGGACTGTGACAGTCCTGCCTGCCTAACGTTATGCTTCAAGTAATAGCGGTGTGATTAAATTCCTAATGCCATGATTAGCTGAAAAAGTATACTATTTGAGCGAAACCAAGTCATTGCGACTGCATCTTATAGGTGAAGGAGAAACGCGCTGACGTTTTGAGGGTGGCGCTCACACATTTTAGGTTGTATTGGAATATGGTGTACGCTGTTAGTTTCCAGGGGCTTACCGTTATTCGCGTGACATTACAATTTGTTTCTGCAGCTTTCATTCCTTCGCCCTCTTGGCCATGTTTTTTACAATTAGCGCTGAATAGCTTCTGTGAAGACACGTTTCAGTCTTCATAATGTACCTATTTGTAGACTGAGAAATCAGACACGCCTCTTTTATATATTTTCGTCCACCTTTGAAGCTGATGAATGTTTTGAAAGATGCTTCCCTATAGACGATCTCGCTGTTTGTAAACAAACCACCTCTCACCCAACGGCCTACCCCAGCAGACTTCCAGTATGGCACTTCCCGCAATGCTTTTTCAACGTCCCGGTGGTGTTTTCGCTGTGTGTTTCAGTTTGCTCGTCTACTATTTCTCACGCATTTCTTATAGGATGCGTTTGAAGTAACGTCTAGCGGCTACAAGAAGGGGTGCGACGTCGCACACGGCTCGCGTGGCCGATGGGCGCCTTACAAAAAATTGGCCCGAATCTACATGTTACACTGTATATGGCATTGAAGGACGATAGTCTTGCTTCTGGAAAGAGTGAACACAACGTCTATTTGATGTTCTGCGCAAGAAAACCGGTGAATGGTATTCTGAAGGCGCTGCATTATAGTGCCTCGAGCGTGTAGCGGAGGCGAACAAGCGAATCTAGGCAGGTTAGGCACAAGCGCCATCTGGCAGTTATCTTCGAAAACGAAAGCGTGCGCGACCACGGAGAAAGGTGCGCAGCATTCTCGGAGGTGATTAGATGTAGAATACAAAGCGACGGGCAGGGACCACCACCGAGCCATCGTAGCAAAGCGTTAGAAACACCTTCTTGAGCATCGCGTCGCACTGTTAACGCAGCGTGATAAACGCTACAGTCCTTAGAGTTACTTGTGTGTGCCTGTTCTCGTATAAAGGCAGACATACAAAATATAGAAGTGTTGTTATAGCGCCTCAGATATGCGCACTATTTGAGTTTTTAATTGACAATCGGACAACTATGAACGCTAAACCTTGAGCAATATTGGTGGGCGCAGCGGGTAGGGTTGGCCGTTTAATGGCGTTTGAGGTATCGTTGAGGTGGACAAACAGACAAATGTACCGACAGGCAGACAGACCAAAATTTTTCCGTCGAAAGCCCCCAAGAAAGACTATCGTCTTGAATATACGTCTTGGCGTTACGGTGAGCGCGGCCCCCTGCTCCGTATGGCCTGCTCTGAGAGTGGTCGCGCCTATACAAACAGAAAATGCATAAATTGCAGGAGACGTTTGTCAGCGAACCTAATTGAGCTAGTTGGTTCTGCATGCCGACAATGTGGATTGCGCTTTGACGACGCAGACCAAGACTTGACATCGTACACCTGTATTTTCTCTGTCCGCGTCTTCAAAGCGCGCCCACACCGTCGACATGCAGGAGAAGAGTGGTTGGATTCTTAGGGAAGTTCTTCAATTCAGCTTTTTGACTCTAACTTTAAGCCTTCCTCCTTTCGAACCCCTAACATATTTGTGTTTTCGTCTAAGCACACAACCTCAAGAAAAAACGCTTATTTCTGTGTCTGTGTCACACCGCACTTTTTGAAGAGATCAGTGGCGATCAGAATCACTCGCAGTCTGACGTGTTCGTGTGACTGGGAAATTATATAATGTACTGATGTGATAAGTCAACTGTGACTGTAGGGTCACACGAACTATCATGGTTTACTCGCGAGGAAGCTCTTCATGAATCAAACTTTCAAGTCGAACCTACCTAAATTTACAGCTTATGCTCATACCTAAATATAAATGCTTGAATGTGGCGATGTTCAATAGCGACAGAAAGACAGGCGATGAGTCAAATATGCCTGCACAGATGAGAGCCCACTTGATAGCATCACCTAAAAAAATCAAATGCAACAACAACGAAACGTGGACACCACGACGTACATGTTGTGTGGCGATTCATGCTAAGCTCGGCTACGTTGTTTTCCGTGTTGTGTAGAACAGTACACATCAATCACATCGCTCAAATTATAAGATAAACAGCTTTGCAATCACGTTTCAGTGTTAGCTTTCATGTTTTGCTGCCCCTTTCGGGCGTCAGTACACTTGTTTGCTGCGGGTGGAAGAAAATAGTGTGTTCCCGGTAACCGGGGGTGCCTGAGTATTGCCTCTGTGCCATTAGTCAGCACTGAGTTTTACATTGCCTTTGATGAAGTGGGCAGAAAAAAAAACCTACGTGCTCTTAGCGGGAATCCACATTTTTCGCATGATGGCTGCAATGCATGTGCTCTTTCTATTGTCATCGGTCTGAAAACAACGTTTTGGCTAGCATATAAAATAATTCAGGCGTGTATACTGCATCTCAACTTGACAAAGCTGTACTCGAGTTGCGAGCGCTTCACCGGAATAATTTTATTTGCATAAAAAATCCTAACACACGCAGCCACGGCAACAACAAACGCTAAAACCACGCAGGAACAAGCTAAACCGTAAGTTTTCAGGGGTGATTTTCGGGTTAACGCACAATGTTGCTAGAGACCGGCAGGCTCTCGCGAAACAGTATATAAGCAACATTTAGAGTTTTATTGAAAGGTGAACAACGTAAAAAGATTTGTGTTTTTGTTATCTCGTCATCCTTCTACTCAGTGTTTATTATCACAATGGCTGCTCGGTAATCTTACTGCAGCTGGGAAGTCAATTAAAATGCCGTCTTTTGTCCACTTCAATTGACCTTCACGAAGAAAAACTGCTCAGCACGGAAAACTGCTTTTTGGAACAAATCTCCATATTCAAAGAGCATCTTTATAGAAGGATATACCGGTTACAATCAATTAAGAAGGGTGAAGCATGGTGCTCGTCTCGTACTTCACTGGGTATCACAGTAGGCCACCCAGCGCATCGCTGGCGCTGTTACATTAACGTATCCGCGCTTTTGAGACCTTAATACGCAACATTTTGATGTACTGCTTCCGGTTGGTTCTGGAGAACCTCACTGCCACGCGGGTTTTCTAGGATCCGCTGAGCCCACCTAAGACATTTCCCCTGGGCCCATTGCTATCACCTTGCAAACTGCCTTCACAGAGACCACGGACGTCGTGTTGTGCAACGATTTCTAGCTATGCCACCCACGTTCCATCAGCATTTAGCCCTGCATCACCACCATGATGCATAACTCAACATACAACGCATCTCATCGTACCCGGCATAAGAAAAATATCATATCTTCCACCTCCGGTGCTGTAACAGCTATCCCTAAGGCTTTGTAACGAGGAGTGTGCCAATTACGTACATGTTTACACTGATGAATCAACCACTCTGCAGTGTTCGTACAAAGTAGTGGTCTTCCCAGCGAAAGATATTACCTTCTGTTTCAAGATAGATCACGTCATCGATAGCTGCGGAGCCCACTGGTCTTCACGCTGCACTTCACGTAGTCCACACCGAGCAGCCTCCACATTAGTCATTCTAGTAATTCGAAGGCAGCTGTGCAATTTTTGCTATCAGACCTGCGGCACGAACCATAAGAACAGCCGGTGTTTGAGATTCCGTATCTTCCCCAAACTGCGTTCTAGGATTGTCTCCACATCACACTTCACCACGTCACGTCACGTGATATTATCTCAAGGCACCAGCCTTGAGACAATAATGTTTTCATGGACTCACGCTGCCAGCTAACTTTGATTGGCCGCACGGGAAATCACTCTATCCACATAGAATACAAGTAGACTGCGCAATCAATTCCACTACAGTCCAAACACTTTACGACTACAGATGTTCACTAAACTACGCCGTAATCAGGATTTGCCGTTTATGGCTAAGAGTGGCCTTCACGATGTCACTGTTATTTCGCATTGAAATGGCTCACAACCCCTTCTATGACAACTGCGGTAGCGAGGAGACACTACAACACATATTCTGCGACTGTCCTTACTTCAATGCCCAGAAAACATCTCTAGCGGTCGCTCTACACTGCATTGGTCACAGTGCCCAACCGGGGTTTTCTTGTGGCTAAAGCACTCGGCTGCTGACCATAGGCCGCGGGATCCAATCTAGGCTGGGTTGGCTGCATTTTCGATGGAGGTGGAAGGGCCGTAGGCCAGTGTGCTCAGACTTCAGTGCACGTTAAAGAAGCCCAGGCAGCCGAAATTTCCGGAGCCCTCTCCTACGGCGTCTCTCATAATCATCTGATGGGTTTAGGAGGCTAAACCCTACACTTCAAATCAATCGAAATCAGCATAGATCGCAGACCGACGACGCCAGACATCATTCCTGGAAAGTCGCTCAGACAGGCCATTGCGAGTGAAGGCAACAGATTTGGACTGTGGTTACAGACTAACAGTGTTATGACGACTGTGACGTTCAACCTGGAGTGTACGTACTCTCCTCTCTCTCCGTTTCTCCGTCTTTCAAACTCTCTCATTCCTGTACCCCGACTAGGATAGCATACCGATCGATCTAGACGGCTTAAACCCTTTGCCTTTCCTTTCACTTTTGTTCTTCTTCTCGTCGTCTACTGGGTCTTTTGCTTGCTCGCACCACAGCTTTTATCCTTTGCCCCTGATGACGTTTTCCCAACATGGGCCTGCTCAAAAAACTCGAATGTATTGTCGGCGTTGTCAAGATCAATTCTTGCTATTTCTGGCTTGCTACAGATTGTGAATCCATTATTGCGTATACCCAAGTTCCATAGGCCAAGGTGAGTGTGTTTGTACCATGCGTCTTCGGAGAAGAGCTCACGACATTCACTTTGTAATCTGCTAATCATGGTCTTCATCCGCTAATCTCCTCCTTTGCTAATTTTTGTTTATGTTAAGTTTAGAAGATATGAGAGCAGTGTGTCATTGGTTGCTAGTTAGATGAAAGCAGTCAAAGCGCTTTTAGTCGGCATACTGATACTTCGCCTTTACGTAAAATCAACAGATTCCATGAATTCAAAGTCAAATTTAGAGATGCAGCAAGCAAGGACATGCTCACGCCACATATTTAACCATGTTTTGGAGGTATCTATATGCATTTCTGTCATTTGTATAATTGTACACGGGCCTTCTGCTTACCAGACAGATTTACAACACCAGCGTCTTAAGAACAGCTCATTGGTTGACGTGATGTCGTTGCTATAACAGTGTGTTTAGAGGCTAAGCTACTTATGGTCTAGGGCAAGCCGGCGTCCTTCCGGCGGCGTAGCCGGTTCAACATATGCACAGACAGACAGACAGACAGACAGACAGACAGACAGACAGACAGACAGACAGACAGACAGACAGACAGACAGACAGACAGACAGACAGACAGACGGTCACTTTGGGCCCTCATCATCATTCACATCGTGGATATGCTGTGATTTTTCAATTGCGTGCACTTCGCAACGCACCTTAATTTCAAGAATGCATTTTAGCGGTCCTTGGCACATACGGGGATGAATTGACGTATGGTGCACACCCGTGTACCATGCGTGGTGGTATCTATTCCGTCTTTTTGACTATGGGAAAGAGATTTATGGCGTAAGTGAAAGGCATGCCATGTTATTCATGTCATTGTCTATGTTACCTATCAGATACAAACGCTGTGCACTCTTTTCTCCGGTGATTCCTGGCATAAACTGACGCAAAGTGGTCGCCGTGAGAGCACCCAGACGCACACAACTATATTTAAAGCAGGTAAAAATACCCCTAGTTTGTCGAAAAACGTACATGTAATAATTGAATTGCCTGTGACGTTGTCCTGGAACAACTGAAATTACTGACTACTGTAATCGAGTGAATGAGTTAGCCCAACCTCTGTGAAAGAGAGTCATTCGCCTTTTGTAAAATGTATCAAAGATGCCTTGTATCTGCATGTCACACCTGCGAAGAAGAAGTATGCATGTTAAGTAGAAAAATGGCGAAAGCAAGCCAAAAGCTCACCGTCTTTCGTCGATCAGGCACGATCTTTGGAATGTGATGGACAACCGGCTTATCGATTCTCGTTTGTCGACTTCACATCGAACGTGTGTTCTATTAGTTGTCTCGTACGTCCATATTCTCTGAGATGTGTCGACAAACTGAAATGAAGACAAAGAACATTGGAAGCTTAAGCTTCGGGTAATATATACATATACTTATTCAACTGAAACATGGTAATTCAATAAATCATTTTCTTTCAGATTTCAGGATTTGCGCAATATTGTCAATTATTGACCTCTAAGTGCTGAAGTGTGAGTGCCTATTGTCACGGGGTCGTGACGTGGCCGAAGACAGGAGACTTCGTGTTGGGATTTACCTGTTTATTTGGGCGAACCTGTGCCCGGTAAACGGAAAGTCCAATTACAGCAGCAGTCTCGCACAGATAGCAGTCTCGGACTGATAGCGGCGAACGGAGCGTCGGCCTTCGATCAACAACTGACAAGCGGCGAAGCGCGTCGGCATTTATACTCCCGCCGTTGAATGTTCTAGCGCTACCGCTGGCGGCGGCGTACGTTCCAGAACAATCTGTACCATTCGCACAGTGGGCGTGATCTTATCGAAATGATCTACTACAGTCCGGAACCCTCTCGAAAACTGCAGGCGCGGTTTGCGCTGAGAATCGTGTGGTGTTTTGGGGCGATAACAAAAGCTTGGGAAATGGAACGTGGCATTGCCCCCCTCTGAAAAAGGCATCGTCTCGATGCTTTAACTAATGATGAAGGTACAATGACAATGCAAGAAAGTACAATAAATAAATTACAATACAACAATAATACAAAAAAGCACTGTTTCAGTTTGTTAACGCGCATGAAATGGCTTTAGGCGTGCGACATGGACGACTTCAGGTCGCGATCGGCGTCGTTGAGAGTTCGTGATGCCGTCGGGGACAACCTCGTAATCAAGTGGGCCGAGGCGTCGAATCAGCCTGTACGGTCCGAAGTACCGTCGCAGAAGCTTTTCACTTAGTCCACGTCGGCGTATTGGCGTCCACACCCAAACACGTTCACCGGGCTGGTATTCCACGAAGCGTCGTCGAAGGTTGTAACGGTGGCTGTCGGTCGTCTGTTGATTCTTGATACGGAGACGCGCAAGATGTCGGGCTTCTTCGGCGCATTGAAGGTACTCGCCCACATTGAGGTTTTCTACGTTGTTGACGTTGGGTAACATGGCATCGAGCGTCGTTGCCGGGCTCCTTCCGTAGACCAATTTGTACGGAGATTCTCGCGTCGTAAAATCCAGACAAAGAACATTGGAAGCTTATGCTTCGGGTAATATATACATATATCTATTCAATCAAAACATGGTAATTCAATAAATCATTTCCTTTCAATTTTCAGGATTTGCGCAATATTGTCAATTATTGACCTCTTAGTGCTGAAGTGTGAGTGCCTATACGTAATAATAAATTTATTAGAAAGCGAACAAAAAGCACCGCACCATGCAATTGTACCCTAAATATGCGCCGATAATCAGGTAGCGCATCCCAAGGATTCACAAGAACAATATAATTAATGCACATGGCCAACGTTATCCAGCGCTGTTGTCACTGTTGACACTTTGAAGAAGAGTAACCAGGCACTTCTATTCCACTCTTACAGCACAAAAGTGAAAAAAAAAATTGCACCTACTTCCACTAAAAGAAACATGAGTAGCATGCTGAGTAGCACATGGGTTGACCCAAAGTTCGGTTCATCACGGGTAGCTTGTCTGATTTAAGCGCTTGCTTACAACTGGAAAAAACAATGCATTCACTGTGGTTTCTGTTCCTGTTACTTGTCCCAAAATCTTGTTGGAGCACGGCACGCGGGCGTGCGTTCAACGTGCGTCTACAGAATCTCGTTCCCCAATGTACAGTGGCTAGAATGGAGCAATGCGACGACCAGCGTCCGGCTCCTATGGGAGGCGCAGATGCATGAGGAGAGAGAACCGCGCGGGGACGCTCACTCCCACATTCATGTCGCTGAAGCTCTACCGCTTCGGAAAGCGCATGATTTCTTTTGTTGATTGGCATAGGCGCACGGTTAATTTTACAGATGCACAGTTGATTTATGGGGCCGGGGTGTACGACAGGCTATAAGTCAAACTTTCCTGGTTCACCTGTTATTCAGACTAAACGATGTGGTTCAGCTATAATTAGCTACACCATGACAGCTTGGCCCAGTTGACCTCGTGAATGCAGATGAATTCTGCCGTGCTTGAACATGCACAGCACGGTGAAGGCCTGACAAACCAAATAGTAAATGTTTCTTTTGTAACGAGGGCAGTGGGCATGGAGCTCAAATATAAAAAAGGAAGAAGACTTGCTGTGATCGCAGGCTTGCGTTCAGTTAGCCCTTGCGCTCAATAAAACTTTCGTTCGCAGAGTCAACTCCTGCTGGTTAAACACCCCGTTTCAAGTGGTGGAAGTGCTGAAATACATCTGGTCCTCACCCTGGGACTTCGTAGCCGCACACTCCAACCACCTTCTGCGATGACTGATCCGCGACCGTCTCAGGCCGCCACTCCAGGTCTCGCACCCATACCTGTCTTCTGCGCTGGCGCTCTCTAGCAGCGCGACCCCCCCTTATTTGGTGGCACAGAGGACCAAGATGTAGACAACTGGATCGCCGAGTATAAACTGGTGAGCGCGTACAATAAGTGGAACGCAGCCGATAAGCTCACAAATGTGAATTTCTACGTGACCGACGTGGTGAAACTATGGTACAGGAATCATCAAAGTGATTTCAGTACCTGGTCGGAATTAGCAAAAACCCTCTAGGAAGTCTTTGGACGTCCTGCTGTCTGCCACCTTCGTGCTGAACAGCGCTTGCGTGGCAGACTACAGAGAACAGATGAGACTTTCACGAGCTACATCGAAGATGTGCTCTTCCTCTGCCAGCTCGTCAACACGACTTTGGATGAGGCAGGCAAGATAAAAAACATAATGAAAGGAATCGATGACGGTGCATTCCAAATGCTTGCTGCGAAGTGTCCCCAAACAGTCGCCGAGGTGATTCAGCTCTGCCAAAGTTATGATGATCTGCGTAGGCAACGTGCTTCCACACGTTGCGCTGCTCAAGACACCGCGGACCTTTCATCCCTCGACTATCACCAGGACACTGCGGACCACTCTGCTTTAATGCCACTCATAAAGCAATTCATACGCGAGGAGGTCGCCCGGCAGCTATCTATAATCACCAGAACTACCGAGCCGATGGCACCCATATCGCCTTCGCTTGGCCAGGTCATTGAATCGCAAGTTGCCGAAACATTGCCGCCAGCTCAGGCTCCACCATATGTTACAGCACCACTAACATATGCAGCCGCTGTTGCTCCGCCACGCGCTTCATCGTCTCCGGCTATCTACGAAGCAACTCGCCACGTTTATTCATCGACGCCACCTGCCCGCCCGTTGACTGTCCCGTCTCCGGCTGTATACGAAACAACTCGGAACGTTTATATGAAGCCGCCGTCTGCACGACTGTTTCCGGTACCTTACTCGGCAACAAGTGCCCCTACCGTCAGCCAGTGGCGCACTCCGGATAATCGGCCAATATGTTTTTCATGTGGCATCCCAGGCCACATAGCTCGTCACTGCCGCCGTCGCAGCTTCCCTTCTCATGACATTGCAGGGGCCTCACACTACATGCCCACTCAGCCGCGATATCTCGTTCCTGCTGATCCACCTCTAGACGTACGTACTGGTCGCCGCCCATCCGGCTCAACCCACTCGCCTTCTCCTCGTCGCAGATCTATTTCTCCAATGTTACGTCGCAACAGCCCACTGCGAGGGGAAAACTGACGGGCGCAGTTCCGGAGACAAGAACTGCGTTGGCAGCGAAAATTTCAAGACCTAACTGCTGTCCCCCGAACGAAATCGAACTCTATATTGATGGCATTAAAGTGCACGGATTGTTGACCCTGGAGCTGCCGTATCTGTAATTAGCGAAAAACTGTGCCGAAACTTGAAGAAAGTGACCACGCAACTTACCGACCTATCTTTGCAGACAGCTACGTCCCATCATATTCAGCCTTCAGCTTTGTGCACTGCACGAGTCGTCTTTCAAGGTGCGATGTACGTCGTCTCATTTGTAGTTTTATTCCGTTCTTCGCATGACGTTATCCTTGGATGGGACTTTCTTTCGTCAAATTCCGCTTTGGTCGGCTGTGCTCGTTCCGAACTCGCATTACCTGTGCCGTGCTATCACCCCGACGATGGCGCTTCGTGTAGAGTGTTTGCTGCTTCTGACGTTGACATTGCGCCTTTCTCAGCTGTTGTCTCGGTGTCGTGTGCCTCCGCCCCGAAATCGCCTGTGTTGTTTATGCCATCGGTCCCATCTGCGTGCCGTCGAAATTTCATGCTTCCGTTTGCCGTCGTCGTTTTTCGCAACGGTCACGCTGCCATTTATGTGTGCAATCCTTCGGACAGCCCGTCATCCCTACTACGTGGAGAATGCCTGGGAAGCTACGAACCTTACGAGTGCATTCTTCCGGCTACTATACCCGACTCTACGGTTTCGCTCCCAATTTGTGCTGTCACTCCTACCAACACGCCTAATGATGTTCTCGACGTATTCTCGGATGCCATCGACTCTGAGCTAAAGCAAAACTGCGATTCGGCCTAGTTGGAATCTATCCATCCTGAAAATGTATGCGCAGGCGAACAAGGACAAAGAAAGGAATACAAACTGGCGCAATCTAACAACTGATTTATTAATCGAAAAACATTGACTCTTTTTAACCCTCGGAACAGCGCTCCCTGGTGACCTAAAAAAAAAAAAAAAAAAAACACACAATGCACTGCGCACTTACGACAACGATAACAAAAACATAAAAACGATAACAGTTTCATTGATTGACAGACAGGAGCGCGATTTCTTTTGTTAGTAAAGCTACTGAAGGGTGGCTAACACAGTTGTCTTTCTGCTTGTCTATATGATATGCCTCCATTATCTCCCTTGACGTCTTGTTTCTACTCCTATACAGCAAGGTAGTGTCGCTAAAGCAAGGAGAGCATGCGCACTCATTGCAATGCATTGCCAAATGGGTTACAGGCCGACCTTTCAGGCTTGACATATGCTCTCTTAGCCTCGTGTTAATGCACCTGCCAGTCTGCCCT